ATCACACCCAAAGCAAAAAGATGAAACAAGGACTACCCAGGAACCAAAGACAAGCAGCAGTTGTGAGCGATCCTTGTATAACATGGTTTGCCCCAAGTGTGGAAAGAAGAAAGACCCTGAAAATCATAAACAATACTTTGGAAACTGGTATTGTAACACAATGACCAAGAACTTTGAGACATGGAGGGAAAACCTTAAAAACAACAAAGGATATAAAAAGAAGAAGACAGATTGACTTATATAATTTTTGTTTATTTGTTTATTTATTTTAACTTTTTTTCCGTTCAAGCTTGCTTGAACAACACCGAGTGCTGGGCAGTGGTCAATTAGCCTGGCTCCCTCAGTGAGCAACTAGCTCCTGAGGATTGGGCAATGGTTCCCTTGGTGGAGGAAATGCTATCATAAATTCAAATTTTCAAACTTTTGATGCTGCCTAGCACAATTGCTAGAAGGTCCCAAGCCCTTAATAAAGCAGAGGGAAAGTTTGTTACATTTTTTCATTTGTTTTTGTTTTATACTTTTCAACAGCTTCCCATAAAGGAATTTTCATTTTATTATGTATATTTGCATTGATTTTAGCCTGCTAAACGTGATTTCCGTATTCTTCTCTTTGCTGACCACCTGTACTTCTATATAGGAATCCCCTTTTGCTGCAGGATCCAAACAGAGAAGAATGGGCGCCTTCCTCAACCAAGGAAGGCACCAATTCTTCTCTGTTGGGATCTCAGTAGAAAGAATTGACCAATGACATCTGCTCGTTTGGTTATTTCAAATCTACCATACCACTATGCCAAGTAACCAATTTTTCCTGACTGATGAAAGGAAAACTTCCTCTTGAATTCATTCCTTAAAAGTAGAGTTTGAGGAAGTCAACAAGTTGTTGTGATGGGAGTTTGGAGATTTGAGAAATCTCCAGTGATTCAGGGCTTCCCGGCTCAATTGCTAAATAGGTAATTTAGTGTTAACAACTAAGTTGAAAACGTAAATTGACCACCGTAAAGAGTTTAAAGGCTAAATTGCTAAATAGTAAAGCAGGATGAAATTTTGAAGGATTTTCTCATCCTTTCTCATTTATTTGCTTAATACACTTTTCAAAAGCTTCCATTGGACGTATTTTCACATAAAAATAACTTGATTTGCTTTTTTCACGCTTTGCGCGTGACCTGTGCCATGAGGACCTCAAGAGAGGTATTAACAGAGAAGAATGGGCGCCTTCCATGGTCGTGCCGGTCGTGACTAACTTCTTGTCACGCAACTTTTAGTCTGTTTTCATGTGGAACCAAAGGCGCTTGCGGCCCTTGATCGTGGTTAAAAGTGGTCACAAAATAGTGGTTAAATTTTAATATGTGCACGTCTAATTTTGATTAAAACATCCAATGATTTTTCACCCAACGAAAACGTTCAATACAATTTCGATGCGACAGCGATAGCGTGACATTTTCACCTCGATGAAATTGATTTTAATATGTTTAATGTTTGATTTTTGAATCGTAACTTGAATCTGAAATAAGGTTATCAATACGCCTTTACTTTAATCTGTTAGAATATTAGCTCTCCATTTCTTGACGTTCTTCTGACTGTCCCTTTTCATTCGCTTTTTAGATTACCTATGGAATCTTGTCATGAAGTAAGTTTATTACTATCCCCATTTTCATTGATTGTTCTGCAAGCTTTGTTATTTAGACTGTTTATGTCAGGGTTTTGGTGAAATTACTCAATAGCTAGCTTGTACAATCGT